CCCTGCTCAGTATATGACAAACGCATTCTAAAAAACTGCCCCATTTAGGATAAAAACCTATATACACATATATACACACACACGTATATTGTGCAGGAAGGCACAAGTAAGGATTACCTCAAAGCAAAAATGTGTTTCCACCTCCAGAGCTTTAATCAGGGTTGCCACACTTTGTTTTCATCCCCTCAAAGGTCTGCTCAATCAAAGAACGAGCCTGAGAGTGGGGTCTGTTGAACGGTTCTTGGGTGCAATCCTTTAGCGGCTGGCCATAAGTGGGTTATGATTGTAATGGGATTTTCATGGCATGGGTAGCCTTTATCACCTAACAGGGAATAGCTAGGTGGAGGATAGAGGCTTTCAACATAAATGGGGCAGTTTTTTAGAATGCGTTTGTCATATACTGAGCAGGGATTTCCAACAAATATGCTCAAAACCAGCCCTGATGCATTGCATATTGATTGAATTTGAATAGTCATATTGTTTGTAGCCAAAATAATGTAGTTGTATCTAAGTGGCTCACAATCAGATATTTGTCAGGGCCACTTTATACGAAGAAAAAAAAATTTTCCCCCCAATTTGCCTGATATTTGGCAGTATGGCTTAGTTATGGGACCTCACTGCCCTTCCATGAGCAGATGTGGAAAGTCTAAGGCAGGTAGAGCAACAGCAATGAACACCATAGGATACAGAACAGAACGGGCATCAACAACAACACAAATTACATTGATTTGTCGGACAAAACATAAAACGGGGAATCCATGATGCAGTGGATCTGTAATGGATCCTCATCATGGAAAGGGATCAACATGAAGAGCTGCAGGGCAAGTTGAAGTGGGAACACTGATCATTTTCAAGTGGTGGAAGCTTGCAAGCAGCGTGCAGAGGAAGCAACAAAGGTAGCCGGGCTAAAGCAGCTTGGATAAGGTGTCCAAGGTTGAAAACAAATAGAACCAGTGTTCTTTTCGTCTCATTGCGGACCTCTCTATTAATCTGCTGGTGTGTGGTTGAAGCTCTGCAAAGAGAGAACAAAAAAAGTATTAACATTAAATCAAATACCTCAAAAGAAATTGTGTTCAATAGTAAAAGTAAATGAAATAAGAAAATTCAGGTAGCACAAAACATGGCATTGGCCAAAGACAGATCAAAGAAGTATACAGTATATATATAGCCTCTTGTTTGAGTGATTGCACCTGCGGGGGGCAAATTCTGTCAAGGCAAGAGTGCTTCTGCTGTCCTCGTTGCCTCAGGTGTGATCATGTGGTCTCTTGAAGGGGACTTCTGACAGTATTCTTGAAAGATTCACATGTTTACTGTCTTCCTTTGTCTACATACATTAAAGGTCCAATCTTGTAGAATGAAAGGATAGGATGCATCATCTTTCCATCTTCAAAAGAGAAAATGCCCTTTGAGTGCATCTCCATGGAGATATGGTGGGATAAATATATTGCACACGATGTCCCCCCTCACACACAAACACTGTCTCAGGGACACTTTGTCTTTGCTGCTTTACAAACACTATTTGATCATAATCCACTTGTAGCTGTATTCGCCTGATCAACTTTGCCAGCATCGATAAATGGCATTGATTAAGAAGCAGAGGTAAATCTCTCTGTCA